TTTCTTCAGCCTCTTGTTCCAATAATTCTCACTATCTTTCCGTGCTTTTGGTCTAGTTTAAATCCCCGTGCACATTAACTCACCTACTTTAATGTGCAAATTCATCTCCCAGCAGCAGCGAGATAAACTCCGTGTGGGGGGTGTGTATGTGTGTGCTTGTTGCCCGAGGGGAAGTGAGGCATCTAAATGAGCATCCAGAGCTGCTGAAGATCAGAAGCCCAAATGTAAAGTTGGGGACAGATGTGGCAATGGAGTGATGCTCAGGCTAAGCTGAACCGGCACATCTGGTAGGCAGCCACCTTCACTCGAAGCAGTTCCTTCCAACCCGCTGGTGACAGGAGCCCCGCCTCAGGTCTGGGGAGATCTGAGGCTGGGGTGGCTGGCAGAGGTGATCGGCAGCCCACTGTTCCCTGCTTTGCTAGCACCCCAGGGCTCCCTCCCACCCAAGCCAGGGCTGAGCCTCAGAGCAGCCAGGAAAGCCTGATCCAGCCCGGGGCAAAATCAGACCACTGGGCAAAATGTCTCCAGGGAGAACTCATTCATCATTTTGCCTTTTCAAAATTGAGATCAAATTAGAAGTCTGGTTAAAAGGAAATAAGTCATCCAGCAGCTTTGGTTCACAGAAGCCCAGTGCTTGGCAGGCATGCAGCCACCCACTGGGCCGGGAGCTGCTGGAGGAAGTGATGGGCAGCTGGATGTCCCACTGGGCTAGCACCCCTCTTTCTAGGGCATCAGGGAGGGTAGAGGGATGCAGCTCTGGGGCTTGAGGAGAAAAGAACTAATGACATCGTGATGAATGTATGATTGGAGCTACAGTCATTGCAATCAACAGGTTTTCCTGATTCTAAACTGAGGACAAATTGCAAGTAACAGAGGAGCATCTGTTTGAGAAGAGGACTTTTGAGCATTGATCCTAGCACCTTCCACTTCACACTGGGTCCTGCTGATGTCCATGCACCCTGGCCCCAGGCCCTGACAAAGAGCACTGCTGTCTTATCCCTGAGCCTTGAGTGTGCTCAGAATCCCATCCCACCCAGGACCGGTGCTTTCAGGTCCTGCTGCCATGGGGTCATGTAAAAAGGCAGGCTGCTGGCTGGCAGCTGGTTCTTGGGGGAATCTTCCTGTTTGCCACCAGGCACAGTAGAGAGGGAAAGGTAAACAGAGCCAAATATGTGCTTGCCTTCAGTGAAATAGAGGACCAAGTAAGATGAGCAGATCCATGAGGGTGGGAAGGGGCAGATAATGGGTACATGGTCATTTCTAGTCTCAAAATTAGAGTCACCATTAAGTATCTTCTATTTGCCAGTCACCTATGCTAGGTACTTCATGTATATTATATCCAAACCACAGAATGAGAGGTAGGGGTTGATCCTCCCATTTTATAGAGAGGAAACTGAGGCTCAGAGAAATTTGGTGATTTATCTACAAGTCACACATAGAAGGAGAGGAATGTTTTACATGTAGGAAGTGTTAAGAACACAGCTTGGGGTCAAATTCTGACTCCCCTGCTTACTGGTTATGTGATCCTGGGTGGGAAAGTACTATTCTCTTCATATCTTAGTTTCTATACCTGTAAAGTGGAGATAATACCTGCCTCACCATCGTTATGAGGCTTATGTGGGGACAGGATCTTCAAGTTTTGATAGGGCACCTAGTGCAGAGCAAAGGCACAATGCAGGGTGGGGCTGGGTGCAGTAGCTCATGTCTATAATCCCAAAAATTTGGGAGGCCGAGGTGGGTTGGTCACTTAAGGTCAGGAGTTTGAGACCAGCCTGGCCAACATGGTGAAACCTCGTATCTACTAAACATACAAAAATTGGGATACAGGTGCATGCCTGCAATCTCAGTTACTCGGGCAGCTGAAGCACGAGAACCACTTGAACCTGGTAGGCAGAGGTTGCAGTGAGCCAAGATTGTGCCACTGTACTCCAGCCTAGGTGACAGTGTGCGACTCTGTCTCAAAACAAACAAATAATGCACAGACAGGATTTATTCTCTCTCTCTCTGCTTGTCTGCAGGATGCCAGTCTATGAGGACCAAAAGCTCATTCCATGGGAAAGGGAATCAGTTCTAAATGTTTTTTTTCTTCACCTCTGATTATTCTCTCCTCTAATGGAAACCTTGGAGCCTGTATTTTCAAGGTATTTAGAAAATGAGACCTCTTACTTAAAAAAAAATGTCATATGCGATTAAATGCTTCTGTCCTCAGGTTAGTGCAAAAGTAATTGTGTTTTTTGTCATTACTTTTAAATGGGAAAAACTGCAATTAGTTTTGCACCAACCTAATACTTCCCTCAATTCTCCAAGCCAAGAAGCTCTTATTTGAACCAATCCTCAAAAATGTGTTTACAATAGCAGCCCCTGACCTGCTGCAGCATCTCAGCCCCTTCCTGTCATTTCTTCCCAACTCTGAACCTTGCTGGCACTGAAACTGCCTTCCTCACATCGTCTATGAAGACACTGGGCAGCTCTGGACTGTCTGTTACCTGCCACCTCTGCTGTGGCTTCAGAATCGTGATGGAGTTCCAACCCAGCCACATCCCCTTTAGGATGGACAATCCCAGGTCCTCTGCCTCTTGAACCAGAAAACTCTGACTACCCGGAACAAGCATGCCTCCAATGGTGTCAGGGCTCCTGGCAAGCAGAGATGAGGCCATCTTAAAGATGGCATTGGCATTTTCCACGCTGCCTGGAAGATTTGCATGGTAGTGTGTGTTAGAGGTAACAAAGTTGGGGCAGTGGCAGGGTGGATCCACACTGTAGAGGGAGAACATGTGAAACATCTCTTCCCACCTGTGAGAGGAGAGAGAGCCTCAGGTGCAGCACCTTCCCCCAAATCGGAGATGACTGCTCTCGGCAGGCACTCTGGAGCAACGATAATAATAACATAATTTGACATCCCCCATTCTTTGTGGAAGAGAATACACCTGTAATAGCCATTTTCAAAAGCCAAGAAGGAGGAGTGCAACCAGAGCAGGGAAAGGATGGGCCTGAACTTCAAAGGAGACAGGCCTGATGGTTATGCACAGAGGCAGCCTTTCCGTTTTCAACGCTCCATGGATTTCTCTCTGAAAACACCAACTTTTGCACCCACTAATTTTCTTCTTTGTGCTCTGATCGGCATCAAGCCATTCTCCCTTTGCAATTCAGTAGACTCTTGAAGAGTGTTTGCATGACAGGACTGATGGGCACGTCCTGGCTTCTCTACAGTGGCCTGTCACTTGCTTGCCACCCAGGGTGCCACCACAGAGTGCCCCAGTGAGCTCCCTCCAGCCATATGCAGTGCATCTATCCCAGTGAGGGGATCAGGCCATTGATTTTCTTCCACCGTCCACCTCCACCACTCCTTCTGCCCGCCAAATGCCAATTATTTATCTTGGTTTCAGAAATGAAGTTCTTAATTTAAGTCAACAGCTGCCTTACCTGTGAAGAACACTTTCTTCACAGGGTATGTTGAATAAAATCTCCCTGGCAGAGGAGGATTTCCTTTCCTACATGCTTCAGATAATGGCCAGCTTTGATCCTTATAGGACATGAACTTCACCCTTTCCCAGACCCCTCAAACTTTAACCCAACCGACATCATAGTCAACGCCATCAACCTCAAGATAGAGCCTGGTAATCTCTCTCCCTCTCTCTCTCTCTCTCTCTCTCTCTTTCTGAGATGGAGTCTTGCTCTGTCACCAGGCTGGAGTGCAGTGGCGTGATCTCAGCTCACTGCAACCTCCAACTCCCTGGTTCAAGCGATTCTCCTGCCTCAGCCTCCCAAATAGCTGGGATCACAGGCATGTGCTGCCATGCCTGGCTAATTTTTGTATTTTTAGTAGAGACGGGGTTTCACCATGTTGGCCAGGATGGTCTTGATTTCCTGACCTCATGATCCGCCCACCTTGGCCTCCCAAAGTGCTGGGATTACAGGCGTGAGCCACTGCACCAGGCTGGTAATTTCTTACATTTGCATAGCACTTTATAATTCCCAAAGTGCCTTCACCTCCAAAACCTCATTTAACCTTTACAACAGTGGAGGAGGTAGATTAGACAGGTATTAGTTTTTCCAGAAGCAGTAGCCAAAGCTCAGAGAGGTTAAACAAGTTGCCCAAAGCCACACAGCTGGCAGGTAGCAGGATAGGACCAAAAGTCTTTGGAATTTTGGTCTGGGACTCCTGACATTCACTGTACTATGAAGACCCTGTCTCCTACTCTAAAATGATTAACTGATTATAAGGAGGAGCCAGAGAGTAGTGTCACTTATTGAATGTCTCACTTAGGGACTTGCAGTCCACAGGTGACCCTGGTTTAGAGTGACCCTGGGGCAACTGGAAGGGAGCATTGCCTTTGGGGATGGGGTGAGAGTACAAGGTGGGTTAGGGAAATAAACTCATTTGCATCAGTCAGGGTTCACTGCAGAAAGAGACGCCTGTGCTTTGGCACCTTAAGCAGAAAACAATCTAACCCATGGAACAGGGTGCCTACAGTCCCACCAGATGGGCTGGAGGAGGGTGCCAGGAGAGACCCCTAGGAACGATTCCCAGAATGATTCACACAGAGCTCTCCTAACAGGAGACACACCACCTACCACTCGCCCTACTGAATTAAGAGCACATGCAGTGGCTGCGGGCCAGGAGTCGGCTGCAGGCCACCGATGACGCCAAGGTGACTCTCACTTAGCACTCCACAGCTGGAAAACGGATGCTGAAATCTTGCTACCAACAAGTCTGATGCTTCTGGCAAACTGCCAGCAGAAAATAGCAAAAGGGGTAGAAAGTGGCATTGGGCCGGCCAGTAGTTCCCGTCTAGAATCGTTTCTACAAGAGAGTCTGGGGAATGTGGCTTTTTGTGAGATGGTTTCTAGCTTCTACCAAACAGGATGGAACATTCAAAGGAGGGAACAATGGAAGTCGAGTAAGCCAGTGCACAGCGCCCACCACAGCAGCCAGCCCACTCTCTTGTTACCTGCGAAAACCCAACATGCAAACACTGAAAATGAATACTTGATTCCAGAGCGGATATTTCAGAGGTCTTTATTAGCATAAGAACAACTCAGTGTGTGTGTTTGTGTGTTCCCCAAGTGCACACAGACACCATATCTCTCAAGAATCACTGATGTATTTCACCGTGGAGCTGAGAATTTCTAGGCCATGAAGCTTTCTTAGTTGAGCAGCAAACCTGTCACAATCAAAACACACAACCCAGGATATAAGTGCCAAGGTTCAGACTTCTGGAGCCCAGAGCCAACCCCCTCTCAGATGGAAGCTGGCTGGGAATGTCAGCCTATCATTCTGGGTGGAAACAGGAGGTGGCTGTGGCAATGGGGTACCCTAAAAATTACAGGGGTAAATACGATCGAGGCCCACAAAGCACTGAAAACACTCGCTGGAGGTGGCAGGTGTGTCAGGCTGATCAGATGGGACCTTGCTCTTGGGAACTCCCCCACAGGTTGCCACTTTGAAGTCATCCTAGCTAATATGTTTGCTTTCTACAGAAGAAAAATTTTAACTATTCCTTCCATTTGAACCACCAAACAGAACTAGAGAGGACCTTAGTTATCAGAGGCCAAGCCCCTCATTCTACAGAGGAGGAATTAAAGGCATGTGGCTGTAAGGGAAGGAGCCTCTCTCACCCAGCCCCAAGGTTTACCCCTGCTCTATGGCAGGGCTCCTTCACTCAGCCACATGTGGACACCTCCCAGAAGCACATGCAATGAGGTGCATCCACACATCAGAACAGGAGCACAGCGGAGCGGAGGTCTGAGCTAACAGAGAAGCCACGGGCACAGTTACAGCCCACATCTCTTGTCCTCGCTCGCTGGGGGCCTCGATGCGCTGCTCTATGTCTTTGCTTCACTCTGCTTTCTCCTGCATGAACGTGTGACCCTTGCTGGCCATTTCTCCACTTGTTTAGGCTGAGGCAAAGAACATGAAGTGGGAGTGTTTCTGGAAAAGTGAAGCAGAGAGAAAAGAGGAAAGAGAAGGGAAGGTGGAGTGGGAGGGAGGGGAAGGACGATAAAGAGACGGAGAGGGATGAAGAACGGCAGATAATGGAATGGAGAGAAGGCAACGGCAGCAAGTATGAGCAGCGAGTCCTCATCAGACAAGCCGATTCCCTCTCTGGTTGGAGCCTGAGAGCTCCCAGTTCCTCTAGCAAGGCTTTCTTCAGAGAAGCAGCTATTGGGCTTAACTAGGTCTGCACAGAAATCATGAGGGCTCCCCAGTGTTTTGTGTGGCACACAGTCCAGACAAAACACAGTGCCTCAATTCAGCTGCTCTTTCTGCAGTGAGACCGACACTGGGTTAGCCTGACTCCCAGTCCACAACGTACCTGGGCTCAGCTGTGCACAGCTTCCCCAGAGCAATGCCTGCGTTCACCTGCACAGCTGTCTTCTGCGTGTCACTGCCTGCGAGCCTTAACAAGACCTGCACGAGGTCCGTCTTTAGCAGGGAAGATGCAACGTTGGGCACCTCCATGCAGTTACCAAGGCAGAGGGCAGCATTGCCCACCAGAACCTCATCCTCCGAGCTGAGTAGCTTCATCATAATGCTCAACTCTGCAGGAAAGGAAGAGAACAAGCAACAGCTCCTTCAAATCCCAAAACAGGACGCTGGCAACAGGACAGGAGGGGCGCTGTCAACAGACTCTGAGCTTCCCCAGTAACTCTGCAGCAGAACCTATTCACTCACTCCTCAGCAAACATTCACTGAATGCATAGGAACCTCCTCAACTCCTTGCTGAATCTCTGAAGTGTCCCGGGTTCCCAGAGCACTGCCCAGCACAACACAGTTGTTAGATGAATGAACGCTATGTGTCAGACAGGTCTGTCTTCTCAAAAGCCCCTGTTCTCAACCTCTCACTGCACCAGGGTGAGAGGCCCCATCTGACAGCCCCCAGGTGGGAGGCAATGTGCCCGCAACCTATACCTGCAGGGCATGAAACAGTTCCAGAAGAAAGTTCCTGCTTCCATGGTGGAGCCTCCTTCAGTTCACCTTCTGTGCATTCCAGGGAGTTGGTAAAAAGCACATTAGCAGGCTGCCTCTCCTATGAAGCCTACTGTGAAAAACTACAGCTGGTGCAAGTTACTAGGCTAAAGGTAGGCTCAGACTCTGATATTCCCCTTGTTCACTAAACGTTGAAGGTGTTTTCCCCGCCCTCCTTCTGTGAAGGCAGAGAACTGAACTCAGCAAGAGAAGGGAGTTTCCTAGCTTGGACCCTGTTATCTTTGAGCCGTCTAGATTCTCTCCTGTCTAGAGTCTACCTCTGTGCAGCCAAAAGGCTAATTAAATGCTTTCAGATGTGGAGGTGAAACATCTTGTTCTGTAAACACTGAAGTCTGGGAGTGGTCAGCAGCATTGCTGATAAGTTCTTCCTCGGCCACAGTTCCCTTTGCAGCTTCAAGGGTGGATGAACCTCTGGGACAAGGGCTTTCTTAAGGAAATCGTCACTTACTGTTATCCAGTCTTACTACTTCTTCCCGAGCTTCATGATAACTATTCGTGCAGATGGCTAGTATCTTTACAGCATAACGTGACGCAGTCTCGCCTCCTGTCTAGATTTCAGAATGAAATTAGAAAAACAAAATCAGTGCTATGATTGCTCTTGACCAGAAGCCACAGAGAACAGTTATTATAGTGCTAGTGGCTTCCTAAACTCTGAAAAGAGAATTCCACTGAGAAGGGCATATGCTTCCAGCATCCTCTCTAACCCCACCCTCACCCCTGACAGGAGTGCAGGCCTGCCATGTACACCTGAGTAATTGCCTCTGGCGGGCTTTTTTAGCAAATGGCTGAGAAGAGAATGATGCTGATGAATGGCAGATCTACCAAAAAGGGAGGAAAAGGCCCTCCCATGTCATTTTACCATTCGAGAATGAGGACTGACTTACTAAGACTGTCAGGCTGACAGTCCTGCATGGAGAACATCAGGAACCTAGATCATTTTAAGAGGTGACAACAGTCAAACATAGCCCTTACCATCACCTACGTGGTGTCTTTAAAAGGCATGTGTGCACGTATGCATGCATGCATGGGTATGCATGTCATCAGCAGTTTTTGGTGGGTTTGCAAAAGTCATAATGAATGATAGTCATTGTTCAAGTGGCAGCCTAAACTCAGACCCCCTGTGCCGCCTCCTTGCCCCACAGCAGCCCTGCCCCCTCAGCAGCCCCCAGCGCATGCTTCCCTGCCCCACTCTGCCTGATGCTTTATGAATAAAAGCCATGTGTCACCACACTAACATGTGTGCACAGACCTCATGGGCACATACATCACAGGTGGGATTCTGAGATGGCAGCCTAATCATCCTCCTCACCCTTGCAGGTGAATCCAGATAACTGGTCTACTGACTTGCTTAGATTCACCGCACTCATTTCATGGGGAAATCCCAACATCCTTTGGTTATATGCTAATTCTGCAGGCTACATGTCTCATAGATGGAGTTCCATCCAGCACTCTCCAGATAACTATATAAAGCATCATGAGCAGTAAAAGCTGATCAAAACAATGTGCCTGAGAAACGTAACAGAAAGCCACTCAGATCATTTTTTTTTTTCAAGAACAGAGGCCATATATTTTAAAGTTAGGCTTGAGGGGTAAGCAGTTTTTAATAGATGTAGCTAATGAACGATTTTCTTATTTATTCAACAATCTGTTGTTGATGTTCAGAGTATGGTCTCAGTAGACAGGCAGAAGCAAATCCCTATCCAAGAAGTTTAAAATCTAGCGAGGGAGAAATGGCAGCACATTGATCAAACAAATCCCACCTTAATACTGTTCGCCGAATAAAGTGGGAGACTTCTGTACATTTCAGAGGTTGTAACCAATAATGTTATTTTACCTTCAGGAATTTAATCATTTTCTTTATCACTCCTGCTCGCAAGGCCTCCTCAACAATTTTCAGAGAGGAAGAAAGGGTCCGGCTCAGAACACCAGCAGCTCTCTGAGAACAGCAGAAAGAGGATAATTAAATGTCCTTTTCAGAACTGCTGACAACATTTAAAAGTTAACAGGGAGTTTGGTGAGGCAAAAGGCCATCATTAATATTGGAAGCAAAATATAAAAAATATGATGGCCAAATAATAGCAAGCACTGTTCTTTTTAATAAAACTATAAAGGAGCTGTAACCATTGCCCCTTGCTACCGAAAGGCCCATATTATTTCAGCCTCACACAGGAACAACTAGTTTAACTCTGAGAAAGGAAGTTCTCCCTTGGGATTCCTTCCAGCGCTCTGATTTCAGCAGGCCCTTTATTAGGAAATGTTTGACTTCCTGGGTTGGTCTTCTGTGTCTTTTGTCTTCATTTCTCTGATCTTTGTCTTTTGTTCTATTTTCTGCGATACTTCATTTACCTTATTTCCCAGCTCTTATTTCCTTTTTTAAATAAATAAATGGCAAGCTGTTACTGTTTTATGGATATAACTATCTTAAATCTTTCTCAGGATACAAATGATAGTTATTATTTTTTTCTTCTGTTTCCTATATCATCGTTATTTCTTTTGGATTAATTTTTACGTTTATCTTGATTTTCCTGTTTAAGTGTGTGGCTTTCCTGCAGTGTCTGGTGACCCTTATCTGCCCAATCACATGTACAAAAAAGGCAATAAAAATATGTTTGGGCATGCCATGTTTATGGGAAGTTTGGTGACTGAAAGGTAGAGAGGTAGCACGCCCATATACTAGAAAGAAAAATGTTTTCTCTAGATTTTCAGTTCTTTAGAGATAAAAATGTTCTGATTTTATGCCTGGGGGATAGATGCCTGCAAGCAAACACAGCTCTGCTGCCTCATACTTGCTTTCTATTGTACTGGGAATTTTGAAACCTTGATCCTCTTCAGGGTATTATAAGGCAAACCTGCTACTGCCCAGCGACATATTCCTCCATCTGTACTCTACAAGAAGGTTTCCTCAGCCCTGCCTCACTAATTATCACCCTTGCAGCTGTTCTCCATCTTCAGAAAACTTGTTATAATTACTTACCTATTGGTAACTACTTGCCTGTTTACCGTCAACGTAGGTCTCTACTTATTTTCCTCCAATGGCTTTAATCTCATTTTAATGAGGTCTCCAGAGGGAGAAAAGATAAACTTGTGTATTATCAAGCTTGTTTCCCTAATCTGCTTCCTAAAGATCCTAGAATTTTGCAATAGCTGACACTTTTCAGGCCCAAGGCAGTGGAGACTGTTGCTAGATGCCCATGGTGAAGCTGCTGCCCTGCTCAGCAAGCTGGGAAGCACCCAGGGTGGCACACGTGGAATTCTGAGGAAATCTGGCTCGGGCTCCCCTAAAGGTTTACTCAGGGACTAGTAAACTCCACCTTTAGATCTGGACCATATGAGAATGGTGGTGCTTACCACTTTGGGGGTCATGGACCTCTTTTGAGGATCTGATGAAAACTATGATGCCCCTTCCATGAAAATGAACACTCAAAATTGTCTGCCCAGTTGCAGGGGATTCCAGGAACGCAATGATGAAGCCCATGTTAAAAACCTTTGCCCTATCCTGTCTGAATTGACTTTGGGGATGTTTTGAGAGTGGTACCCTCAAACAAGGTATGTTGGATCTACTCAGAACCTTTTTTTAAATTGTGGAGCCAGTCCTCAGCCTGCAACTGTTGAAAGGCTGGTTTCCCAAACCCACCCTAGATGTGGCCATAATTGCTTCTCTAGGGGTTTGGGCCCTGCCCTGACAGGGAGAAAAACAGGGGTGTTCACTAAGGTGAGTGAAGAACATATTCTAGGGTGATGGCAAATAGCCTCTTGAATCATACTAATATTCTTTTCCTGATGCACTGTGCTAACATATAGGCCTTTCTCAGTTTTCTTATCCAAATGTCAGACACAGAATTGAGAAAGCCATTCCAGCATATATTTTAAACAGAGGCGAAAACTATTATGCACGAACAACCTCTAGGATCACTGGCTTAAAACATGGACCTGGCTTTTTTTTTTTTTTTTGCCATGGAAAAAAGGGATTCCAAATAAGTTGGACACTTGATCTGTCCAATTTGCAAAGGATATTTTGAAATAGGACAAAATATATCCTCTAAGCTGGTTAAATTTCAGACCATACAGAAAAGGGATTCTTAAGTCGGGCTCCTAGACTCTAGAGGATCCACAGATGATGCGCACTGCAAGGAGGTCATCAAATTCCTGAAACTGTAGACAAAACCTGATATCTATGTGCTTGTGTGCGTTATTCTGAATAGTATATCCATACCACATCTTGGAGAGTCACCGGATTCTCAAAGGTGGCAGCTTCAAAAAGATTAAGGACCATTGATAATAAAATAAGACAAAACAGAAAGAACAATGGAAGCTACTTCTGGATTTCCCTGGGAGAAACTTACTGTCAGGATTCCTCCATCCTGGCTGTTTAGTAGAGATAGGCACCTTCTGCTCACCTCCACGGCCCAAACCTACAACAATGGGGAGAGGCCAGGAGGTGATTGTAATTTGCTGGCAATCTGAATTCTCGGTGGAGCTTCTTCTGAGCACCCCTCCTTTTTAGCACCACCACACTGTGCTCAGGTTCCCTCACGACACCGGCTTTTACTGCTCTTATTCCTTCCTATGTCTATCTCCCCTAACTCCAGAGCATTTCCTGATAGCAGGAACCACCTTTTATTTGACTTTGTGAACGCAGCACCTCACACTCTGCTCAGCACACCCTGGATACTCAGTCTGTTTTCTGAGTGAATACATGACTGAGTGACCCATCCACCCCTCAGCAGAGCAAAGGGAGAGTGCATCCCTCCAGCTTTCCCCATTCCATGGCCAGTGTGTCAGTGTACATGCTTCTGTTTTTTTTGTGAACATGCGAATGGTTTTATGCCACAGAATGTGTGCAGGTTGTCCCAGGGTTTCAGGCAGGGAGACGGAATGCCATACCTCAGAGACAAAGGGAGACTGAAGACACAGGTTCATCAGGAGTCCCAGGAGTGTGTAGATAACCTCTCTGAACAGGTCCACATCCTCCTCACACCTGGCCTTGAGAAACAAAACAAGGTAACCAATGACCTTTCTGCCTTACAGGTTTTTATGGTCACCTTTACCCTTGGACAAGGATCTCAGAGTTAACCCACTCTCTAAATTGCCAATATCATGAACCTAATGATGTTGGAAGATCAGAGACTAGTTCCATGAGTTCATGTTAGTCGAGGAGACTTGGAAGGAGTCTCTGGTGCTTCTGCCATGGAACTATGGCTCAGTTTGTTCCTGGGCTTAAAGTGAAGAGTGAGCTGCTGAGATGGGTGATCATTCAACTCCACCACAAACATTTTTCAAATTGGGATCAGGCAAGATGGCTGACTAGACACAGCCAGGTGGGACAGCTCCCATGAGGGACAGAGACAACTGGCGTGGTCCTTACAGTTCTTCAGAGGGAAGGCACTGAGAGTAGATGGAGAGAAGACACAGAAGCAGGAAGGAATGGGAGTAACTGGGAACCCTGCATGGGGGTCCTATGTACTGAGGCTTGTTATTGGCCCCCAAAGCCTCTGGGGGAATGAGTAAGTTGAACTGGCAAAGAGCAACCTGATCTCATAATGGGCCTCTGGAACCCTGGCAGGAGAAATCCCCTCAACCACCACAGACCCTCATGGAGTTGGCAGAGAGAGCTGCTTAGAGAAGCGGTAGGGTTGGCAAGCCAGCTGATGTGGAGCCCAGAGGGCTGGGTGTGGTAGTGTCTGTAGTGGCGCATGGCCCCGGACAACTATCCCCCTAGGCTCAACTTACTCCCATACAAGACTTTAGCCCTAGGGGAACTGTCAGACCTGAAATCTGCAGGGTGGCCTTGCCCATCAGACAGGGCCAGTCTAACTTGAGGACATCTTGCTCTGTTGGCCTCTTCTGGGGCCCCAGCCTGGCCACACATGCTTGCTGAGCAGCCTCGAGGACCCTGGGGGCCGGCACCATAGTTTCTAAACTGGTGGACCATGGCTGATCAGTGGAGAGCTCCAGGAGGGTACCCCTATCACCACACACCAGCCCACATGCTCCCTCTCCACACTACAACTTCCCCTGGGCCCAGGGCAGCTCCCCACATCACTTTGCTGGTGAGTATCTGCTTTCCTTGGGGAAGAAAGGGCAGGTTTTGCTTTCCTTGCCCTGCCAGAGCATGGGAGTGCAGTCCTGCTCCTCCTCTTCCCTCTGACCACCATTTCAGATGGAGTCTTGGTGGGCATAGAGCCAGCCATCCCACCCCTGTCAGCATCTTGCATTAGTGCTAGCTTGGCAAAGAGTACAGTGGATCCTTCCCCCTCTAGGAGCAACCTCCACTGCTTGAGAGGCACAGAGAAGGCACAACTTTCAGCATGACCATGTACACAGTCACCAGCAGGGACCCTCTTCCCCCAGGGTGGCACTGTGGCAAACACCTGCAGGGAGTCAGGCACCCTGGCACCCACTAGCACCCTGCCACAGGTCTTCCGCTGCTGTTGGCATAAGCAAACAAGTTGAGTTCCCACTGTCACCACATTATGAAATTCTTGGGCTAACACCACCTATTGAAGTGTAGTGACCAGAGGTTCAGAATCACCTTGGCTCCCCCAGTGTGGTGTATGCTTAACCTAGAGGAGCCAGAAAACAAAGTCAAGGCCCAATAAAAGTCCCCTAGAGTTAGAGCATCCAGTCTAAGAGTTGGGAGCTGAATACTGACCCCCTAAAATCTTCCAGAAACAAAGCCAGTCAGCTGACTCCACCTTATACCACAATAAAACCCTCAAGGTCATCAAATAGGATAAAGGAAAAAAAATTATCCAAAGGTCAGCAATCTCAAAGATTGACATTAGAGAAACCAACAAAGATGAGAAACAATCCACACAATAAACCTGATAATTCAAGAAGTCAGAATGCCTTCTTCCTTCCAAACAACCACAACACCTCTCATCAAGGGTTCTAAACCTGGCTGACATGGCTAAAATGACAGAAACAGAATTCAGAATATGAATAGGAATGAAGTTCATTGAGTTACAGGAGTACATTGAAACCCACACCAAGAAAGCCAGAATCATAATAAAACAATGAAGGAGCTGACAGACAAAATGGCCAGTATAGAAAAGAACATAACCAACCTGACAGAGCTGAAAAACCACACTAGAAGAATTTCACAATGCAGTTACAAGTGTTAACAGCAGAATAGATCAATCAGAAGAAATAATCTCACACCTTGAAGACAGGCTTTCTGAAATAAGATAGAGAATAGATAAAAAAAGAATAAAAAGAAATGAGTAAAACCTCTGAGAAATATAGAATTCTGTAAAGAGACCCAATCTATATCTAACTGATGTCCCTGAAAGATGGGAAGAATAGAACTAATGTGGAAAACATATTTCAGGATATCATCCATGAGAACGTCCCCAACCTAGCTAGAGAAGTCAACATTCAAATTCAGAAATGCAGAGAACTCCAGTAAGATACTCATAAGAAGATCATCCCCAAGACATATAATCATCAGATTCTCCAAGGTCGATATGAAAGCAAAAATACTGACGGCAACTAGAGAGAAAGGTCAGATCACTTACAAAGGAGAGTTCATCAGACTAATAGCAGATCTCCCAGCAGAAACCCTACAAGCCAGAAGAGATTGGAGGCCAATATTCAACATTCTTAAAGAAAAGAAATTCCAACCCATAATTTCATTTCTGGCCAAACTAAACTTTGTAAGTGAAAGAGAAATAAGCAAATGCTAAGGGAATTCATTACTACCAGACTTGCCTTACAAGAGTTCCTGAAGGAATCACTAAATATGGAAAGAAAAGACCATTACCAGCCTTTACGAACACACACTGAAGTACATAGACCAGTAACATTATAAAGCAACCACATAAATAAATCAGCAAATAAGCATCTAACATCATGATGACAGGATCAAATCTACACATACCAATACTAACCTTGAATGTAAATGGGCTAAATGTCCCAAGAAACACAGTTGCAAGTCAGATAAAGAACCAAGATCCATTGGTATGCTGTCTTCAAAAAACCCATCTCACAAGCAATGATACACATAGGCAAAACAACAGGAGGGAGAAAAATCTACCAAGAAAATGGAAAACAGAAATAAAGCAGGGGTTTCAGACAAAACAGACTTTAAACATCCCAGTTTCAGACAAAACAGACTTTAAACCAATGAAGACCAAAAAAGACAAAGAAGGGCATTGCACATATTGGTAAGGGGTTCAATTCAACAAGAAGATCTGACTATCCTAAATAATTATGCACCAAACACAGAAACATCCAGATTCATAAAGCAAGTTCTTAGAGACCTTCAAAGAGACTTAGTCTGCCACATAATAATAGCAGGAGACTTTACCACCCCACTGACAATATTAGATCACTGAGACAGCAAATTAACAAAGATATTCAGGACCTGAACTTAGCACCAGATCAAATGGGCTTGATGTACATACACAGATTTCTCCATCTGAAAACAACAGAATATACATTCTTCTCACCATCATGTAGTACATACTCTAAAATCAATCATGCTCGGAAGTAAAATGCTCCTTAGCAAATGCAAAATAACTGAAATCCTAATACTCAAATTAGAAATTAAGACTAAGAAATGCACTCAAAACTACATAATTACATGGAAATTGAACAACTTGCTCCAGAATGACTTTGAGTAAAGAAAGCAGTTAAGGCAGAAATCAAGAAGTTCTTTGAAACTAATGAGAACAAAAATACAGCATACCAGAATCTCTGGGACACAGGTAAGGCAGTGTTAAGAGGGAAATTTATAGCACTAAATGCCCTAACAGATATTTCTAACAAAAATTTAGAAATATCTCATGTTAACAACATACCACCACAACTAAAACAACTAGAGAACCAAGAGCAAACAAATCCCAAAGCTAGCAGAAGACAAGAAGTAACCAAAATCAGAGCTGAACTGAAGGAGACTGAGACACACACACACACACACACACACAAATCCTTCGAAAGGTCAACAAATCCTAAAGCTGGTTTCTTGAAAAAAATAATAAAATAGATAGATCACTAGCTAGACTAAAACACGGAAAGAGAGAATATGCAAATAGACACAATCAGAAACAACAAGGGCATATCACCACTGACCCCATAGAAATACAAACAACCGTCAGAGTATATTATGAACACCTCCATGTACATAAACTAGAAAATCTAGAAGAAATGAATAAATTCCTGGACACACACACTATCCAAAGACTGAACCAGGAAAAAATGGAATCCCTGGACAAACCAACAATGAGCTCTGAAACTGAGTCAGTAATAAATAGCCTACCAACCAAAAAAAGCCCAGTACCAGCCAGATTCACAGTTGAATTTTACCAGATGTACAAAGAAGAGGTGGTACTATTCCTGCTAAAATGATTCCAAAATATCAAGGAGGAGGGATTCCTTCCTAACTCATTCTATGAGACCAGCATCATCCTGACTCCAAAACCTGGCAGAGACACAGCAAAAAAGGAAAACTTCAGGCCAAAATCCTTGATTAACATTGATGCAAAAATCCTCAACAAAATACTGGCAAACTGAGTCTAGCAGCACATCAAAAAGCTTATCCACCACAATCAAGTGGGCTTTATCTCTGGGATGCAAGGTTGGTTCAACATATGCAAATAGATAAATGTGATTCATCACATAAACAGAACTAACAACAAAAACCATGTGATTTCAATAGATGCAGAAGAGGCTTTTGATAAAATTCAACACTTCTTCATGTTAAGAACTCTCAATAAACTAGGTACTAAAGGAACATACCTCAAAATAATAAGAACCTTCTATGACAGACCCACGGCCAACATCATACTAAATGGGCAAAAGCTGGAAGCACTCCCCTTGAAAAGTGGCACAAGACAAGGATGCCCTCTCACACCGCATGTATTCAACAGAGTATTAGAAGTCCTGGCCATGGCAATCAGGTAAGAGAGAAAAATAAGGGGCAACCAAAGAGGAAAAGAAGAAGTCAAACTCTGTTTGTAGATGACATGACCCTGTATCTAGAAAAATCCACAGTCTTAGGCCAAAAGCTCCTTAAGCTGATTAACAACTTCAGCAATGTCTCAGGATACAAAATCAACACACAAAGATCACCAGCATTCTTATATACCAGCAACAGGCAGACCGAGAGCCAAATCAGAAATGCAGTCCCATTTCTAATTGCCATCAAAAGAAAATACCTAGGAATACAGCTAACCAGGGAGGTGAAAGATCTCCAGAAGAACCACAGAACACTGCTCAAATAAATCATATATGACACAAACAAATGGAAAAACATTCCGTGTTCATAGATAGAAAGAATCAATATTGTTAAAATGGCCATACTGCCTAAAACAATATATAGATTCAATGCAATTCCTATTAAACTATCATTTACATTCTTCACAGAACTAGAAAAAGCTATTTTAAAATTTGTATGGAATCAAAAAGGAGTCTGAATAGCCAAGGCAATCTTAGGCAAAAGGAGCAAAGCTGGAGGCATCACGTTACCTGACTTTGAACTATACTATAGTTACCAAAGCAGCATGGTACTGGTATAAAAACAGATGCATAGACAAATGGAACAGAATAAAGAACCAGAAATAAGACCGTATACCTAAAACATCTGATCTTTGATAAACCTGTTAAAAACAAGCAATGGGGAAAGGATTCCCTATTCAATAAATGCTGCTGGGATAACTGGCTAGTTATATGCAGAAGATTGAAACTGGACCCCTTCCTTACACAATACATGAAAATCAGCTCAAGATGGAATAAAACCTTAATTGTAAAATCCAAAACTATAAAAACCCTAGAAGATAACCCAGGCAATACCATTCTACACACAGGAATGAGCAAAAATTTCATGACGAAGACACCAAAAGCAATCACAACCAAAGCAAAAATGGACAAATAGGATCTAATTAAAGAGCTTCTGCACAGCAAAGGAAATTACCAACAGAGTGAACAGACAACCTACAGAATGGAAGAAAGTTTTTGCAAGCTATGCATCTGACAAAGGTCTAATATCCAGTATCTATAAAGAACTTAAACAAATTTACAAGAGAAAAATAAACTATCCCATTAAAAAGTGGGCAAAGAACATGAAGAAACACTTTCCGAAAGAAGACATACAAGTGGCCAACAAGTACATGAAGAAAAGCTCAACATCATTGATATCATTAGTGCAATGCAAATCAAAACCACAAGATACCATCTCACACCAGTCAGAATGGTGATTACTAAAAAGTCAAAAAATAACAGATGCTGGCAAGGCTGCAGAGGAAAAGGAACTGTTGGTGGGAGAGTAAAGTAGTTCAATCGCTGTGGAAAACAGTGTGGCTATTTCTCAAAGACCTAAAACAGAGATACCATATGACCCAGCAATCCCATTAATGGGGACATACTGAAAGGAACAGAAATCTTTTTATTATAAAGACACATGCCCGCATATGTTCACTGCAGCATTATTCACAATAGCAAAGACATGGAATCAACCTAAATGCTCATCAATGATAGACTGGATAAAGAAAATGTGCTACATATACACCATGGAATACTATGCAGCCATAAAAAGAATGAGATTATGTCCTTTGCAGGAACATGGTGAAGCTAGAGGCTATTATCCTTTGCAAATTAATGCAGGAATAGAAAACTAAGTACCACGTGTCCTTCCTTATACGTGAGTGCTAAAAGATGAGAACACATGGACACATAAAGGGGAACAACACACACTGGGGCCTGCCAGAAGGTCGGGGGTGGGAGGAAGAGGGAGAGGATGAGGAGAAATAACTAATGGGTCCTAGGCTTAATACCTGGGTAACAAAATAATATGTACAACAAACCCCCATCACACAAGTTTACTTATGTAAGAAACCTGCAAATGTACCCCTGAACTTAAAAGTTAAATAATAAATAAATAAATCATTTTAAAAAATTAAAAAAGAAAATCCTTCCCCAGGGCTAATGAAACTTGATCTGTGGGGCTGTTTAAGGCTGGCAGTGCATAAAGTCTACAGTTACAGAAGGGATAAGCCACTGCACCATTCCAGCATCTACAGAAACAGAATTTTTGGAAACACCAGACAACTAAGAAGCAGCTAATACCCCCAAAGAGGATAAAGAGCAATTTTGAATAGAAAAGCTAACATACCATGAGGCTCAAGCAGCCATCCCCAAATTCCTCACAGGCTGTCATGTGTCTTCGGGTGGCAGGCTCAGCACTGAGGTTTCCCATGATGGCAATGCACTGGCACAGAGCCGAGGAGCTGCTTACCTTGGGATCTCTCTTCTAAATGAGAATCAGGAGGAGGCAGAGCCTCAGAGAGCAGGCAAAGGATGTTGCATGATCTCTAGGTGGGTCCCTCACTCACCAAAAGGTCCATGAACAAACTAGATAGCTTCATGTCAAACAGGGGCATCCCTAGGGTCACACTGGCAACAAAATGGAGGCACATAGAGGGGTAGATCCAAAAGGGTCTTGGCCTAGGGCTTAATCCCAGCTCCTCCACCAACCAGCTGGGAGGACTTGGACAAGTCCCTTCCCTTCTCAGAGGCTCCATTTCCACAGCTGTGACATACTGGGGTGTGGTTATGCTCTTCTAGGGCCCCTGAAACTTCTAAGGTTCAATAGGGACAGGCTCCAGTTGCAACACACTCTCCATGGAGAACCCTTGCCCCCCACGTCATTCAGTGCTTTATCAGCTCAAATTGCTACACTAGTTTTCCTGACAGGATGACTTCCATTCAGCAGACAGGGTTGCACAGCGTAATTAGTGTCAGCAGGGGACTGATGGAGACTGACGGACTCTATCCACCTTCACTTACAACGTCACCCACGTCCAGCTTTTCCTCCCCTGTAACCAGCACCATCCGTATGCCACCTCCACCTGTCCCTCCTGTAGTTGTTTCAATAACTGAGAATTGTGTAAATTCCAGCTGTGAATAAATGATTAATCAACCGAGAGACAATAGTTGTTCTAGATCGTAAATTGTGTTTAAACAGCCCCATTCATGCACCTGAGAGTGTCTGTCACAGAGGATGAAAATGAGGGTTTGCTCACCAGAACGCCTGTGAGTGCAGGGAGAACACCTGGAAGGTTGGCCTGGTACCAGACTTGGAATCTGTTGAGAAACCATCAGACAGGATTTATTTTTACATTGCATAAACTATAACATAAGTACAGCGTCTCAGATAATTAATGTTGCAGGCACTTGCAAACTCTAGGCCCATGTGATTTAGAGTGTGCATGGACAATAAAGAACCAAAAAAAGAAAAAAGCATGTCACTGTGTATGTAATGTGGCTGTTATTTTTCTAAGTCTGGAGAATTGCTTTTGATGTGAAACAACAGATCTCAGATGGCAGCTCCCGTAAGCAGGAGTTGCTGGAATCTCTAGGCTTTTGCCAAGCTGACTTACCCCCCAATCCCTGCTCTGAGTCTACAGCATGTGTGTGCTGTGCAGAAGGCAAATACCATGCAAGCAGGTTTACCCTTCGGAGCCTCTCCACACGCTACAGCCACTGTTCCATACCCCAGCCCATGCCAGCTGGCTGGCCTGCCTGTGAGCACAAGCAGCTCTCTCATCCCATTACCATCTCTAAGCAAGGTGTCCTACAGTTTGTGAGGAAATTTAAAACACAAGATGAACTTTAGAAAAAGCACTTGAAAAATTATTAAAACTAAGATCTTTACTATCACCCCCAGTAGCTAAGCAAAACAAAACAAAACAAAGCAGCACAAAGCCACGGGGCAGAAGGAGGTCATTATTTATGACGTCACTGGCAACCCCAGAGGAGGCTGCATTTGACTGTTCATTCTTGCTTGCTGGCTTGCTCAAGTATTTTCAATGCAAATTTGCTGGGCAGCTCCTATGTGCCAGGCACTGATTAGGAAGGAGGAAGCTTCCCGACACTTGGGAGGCTTCCCTACTGTCAGAGGCACTGCTTTAAGTATGCGGCTGCTTCCAAACCCATGGAGGCCCAGGTCAGCCTCTACACAGAGTAACTAGAATGGGAGTAGCTGGCCTCGGCCCCTTGGGAGGCATCAGCCCTCCTACTCAGTGAATCCTGCAATACTCACTTGGAGACTTGGCCTCTCCAAATATGGCACATTTTTAAAGATCAGACAGTTCAACAAAGACTGAAGAAGAAATGTCAGTCTCTATAAATAAAAAAATTACCTTTCTTCCAGAGCCAAGTCTGTGAACAGTCCCATAGCAGTGTCAGCCTCCTTATCCGAGAAATCAAGAAATGACACCAGGGCTTCCAACAATCTGCAAAAACCCATAATAACCTCAGAGGTAGCTGTCCTCCAACTAACAACATCCCAACAGGGTAACCTTGTAAGGAAACCAAAATGGAGTCCGCACCTGGGTGAAATAAGCAGAAAGGGTGCCTTGCCGCGCCCTCCTAGGAAGCATAGCTCCTTACCCACCCAGACACAGATACTCTTAGGTGGTTGGCTCCACCATTTAATGTGAATCCCCAGAAGGCTGAATACTTTTAACCAAAGTTTATTGATTATCGGACGCCAGCTCAGAAGGAGTTTCTGTGACTCAACCATGTGACTCTGGCTCAGTCAAGTTCATTAACTTAGATGACATCTAAATGGCATGCTTACTAATCTGCTGATGACTAAAGTGGGAGGGCCCCCTAATAAGGTGGGTGACGGAATAAAGATTTAACAAGATTGTGACAGGCTGCTGAATATATTAGATTAAATTTAATAGGGTTAAACTCAAAGTCCTCCACTTAGAGCTGGCAATTCTGCATAAGTAACAGAATTGTGAGACCTGGTTTATAACTGGTTCATATAAGAAAGATTTAAGGATTTTTAGCCACTTACAAACACAAGATGAACAAACACTCTAGCACAGCTGCCAGAAAACACCTGCTGCAATCTCAGGCTGCCCAAACGGACTTATTGGCACCACGACAATGGAAATAAGAGTAATTTGTTTATCCAGCCAGCTTGTATTAACTGTCTATAACGTGCTAAGTATACTGTGCTCAGTGCTGAGCTCCGGGTTTCCTACAGTGATTCACATGCAAATAAACAAGTAAGATAAACTGTCTTAAGTGATATGTTAGAGACAGACACATGTTGAGAGGACCAGAGTCTCGCCAGTGGGAGGTGTGGGGATGGAGGTGAAGCAGCCTTCAACAGATGACATTTCAGGGTCTCTAAAGTGTAGGGTTAGCTATTCAGTCGTTTATTCATTTGACCAATCACAATGAATAAGCCCTGACTGTGTGCCAGGCAATGTGGTCAGTTCTGGGGTCACAGCAATTAAACAAGACAATGTCCTAGCTCCAGGCAGCTTGCAGGCCAGCATCGCGTTGGGCCGTCGGGGATGCGTGCAGAGCAAGTCAGGCAAAGCAGCCTGCATTCACAGAACCACGAGGCATAGAGTAGCGGGAGTACATTTGGGGACTGCTGGCATGCTTAGGGTGGGAGGGGAGGACAGGGGGTGGTAGAGAGCTGGACAGAGCCCAGATCCTGGGACCTTCTGGAGCCTCCTGGAAAGTCTGTGCTTTGCTTGGTAGGCCCCTGTTCTCCAATGTGTGGTTGGTGGTGGGGGTCTTGGGGACAGATTCCTTAGTCAGTCTGAGTGTGAGGAGGCTGCTTTTTCATTAAGTCCTCATGTGATTCCTAGCCATTATATTTTGCAGTAATTGGAGAACTAGCCTTACAAGGAATAGAGAGTCATTTCAGTGTGTTAAGTAGGAAAATAGCAGAACAGACGTGCATTTTGGAAAAATCCCTTTGGCATACAGTGGAGGCTGGGTTGGAGCAGGTCATACAGGAGGCAGGAATTCAACCCAGGGAGAACTGCGAAGAACTGTGATTGTCCAGACAATAAACCCTAAGGGAGCAGACTGAGGCAGCAGCAGAGTAAGAGGTACAGTAAAAAACAGACACTCATGAAGACCTGGAAGGAATGACTGGAGACAGTAGAGGACAATACATCCAAATCATCAAAGGAATGATGGAGGGAACAAAGATGGTTAACCTGGAATATATCAATATTTTCAGATATGTAACACACTGGAAATCTGGGAGGAGTCTGGACCTGGGCCTTAATGTAGGGAGGCAGGATCAGCCCTAGAATAGTATGAGGCAGGCAGCTTGTGCACAGTGTAAGGAGATGATTTATGTCAATCAGAACTGTCCTAAAATGGGATGGGCTACCTTGGGAGGTGAGACCCACAGCTTCTCACTAACTGGGGAGAGACTTCCTCCACCCAGTCTATTAGCTGCATTACTGCCCATCCCGAACCAAATGTAGGTAAAAATAATGAAAGCACTGGCATGTCCCCTGGAGGGCATGATGCACAGGCTGCACACAGGTGCGCAGAGGAATCTATGCCGAGTGGGGCTTGACCGGCTGGTTCCTGAGGGCCCAGGTGACGCTGAGCTTCTGCAAATCCCTAACATCTTCAGGAATGGACTCCAGTGCTCCTGCTGTCAGAAATAATTTATTTGTTTTACACTTAGTTCAGATTCTTCCTTCACCAGTTTAAACCTATTTTCTTCGGTCTTGAAGATGAATACTAATAAGCCTGAATAGCACAGAAGATGAGACCGCAGTCTAAGATCATCTTGGTTTTGTCCTGGGAGACATAAGCAGCTAGGCCCCCTCACCATGTGACAAAGCACACAGCCTAAGTGGACTCAGGACCTAGAGAAGACTGCATGGCTCTTTCTACCTCCTCACATCCCTTCTTTTTTGTGGCAGATTTTTTGCTCTGCTTGGAAGCAGCTGTCTCTGTGAGTGAATCACAGGTCAGAAAATGCTTTCATGTAACCAGTAAATGCATGGTTACTTCAATTTAGGACCCTGAACAAATACCCTACCCTGAGAGAAAAATGATTATAAGTGTTATTGAGCCCCTCTCATGCCATGTGTCAGGCCTGATACTTGATGTTAGTTGCTTTTTTTTTTTTTTGCTGTAGGAGATGCTGTTTGCAGGCTAACTCCACATTCTCCGCTCCCTTCTATTCTTCCTGACTCTACTACAGAGGAAGCTAGGACGATTTTTTTTCCACCAGGGGTAGCATGTGACACAATTCTGTCCAAAGAGAAATAGGCAGTAGCTTTTCTTGATAAAAGGGACAGATTCAGCTAGTGTTGACCTGTCTTAAAGAAGGACGTGAAGCTTGGAGCTGCAGCGAGGAGGAAGGTATGACCATGTGGGGAAGGTCAGGAGAAGGAAGAGACTTTGACCTCGACATCTTTAAGTCACTGCACCAACAGTTGCTATCTTTAGCCTCGTTTTATTAGGTGACAAAACAAGCCAGGCTTAAGCTATTTTGCCTAAGCTTCTTTTGTTCAAGTATTCTGCACAATGCGGCAGCAAAAAATTCAACTGACATAGCTGCATCACCCCCCGCCCCGTGTCATCATAAGTGAGGGTGCAGATGACACACGGGGCCCATCAATGCTAAGTCACTTTCCTGGGTCACACAAGCAGAGACATGCAGGGGATTTAAGCTCAGTACTACTTAAGACTAAAACCCAGCACTTTTTACAAAATGACACGGGCCCTTGGCCAGCACATATTCGTCCCTTCAACCTCTCCTAGGAGGATAAGCACTGTGGGTGGAATGTGATACGTGAGCTGCCGTGACAGTCATGGGACTATTTGCAGCTCTGTTTTGATTCAAACTGCCTCATTTCATCACAGAGAACCCATTCTTTCTGGTTCAACTGGAGATGAACGGTAAGGAGGCTAGTAGGCATAAAGGTAAAAACCTGAGGTTTCTCTGTCTAAAGAGAGTAGGCAGGACCACATGAGGTGATTGTGAAAGCCACTCTCCGAGACACCGGAAAAATTCACATTGAAACTCAAGCAATTCAAAGATAGCTTGAGGGGAAAAGCTCATGATAGCTATAGCTACATTTACTCAAAGAGACAAAAACCATATTAAAAAAATATGATGAAGGTATTGAGGAAATGACTGCAGAGTCATTTGAAATGTGAAATGTGCTTTTGGAGAATTTAACTCCACTAACAATCTGCATCTGCCATGAGGCCTGAGCTTCAGGAAGTTGCCAAAGCCTTTCCTGGGAGCCACTGAGGCTGTGACTGGGCCCAGAAGGGGAGCCATAGGCAAGGCTTAATAGCCACCCTGGCACGGGCACACACAGAGCTCCACACCAAACTGAACAGTGTGGGAGGGCTCAGCAGGGTCCCCAAAAGATCTGGCAGGAACAAGAGCCAGTCGCAGCAGGTTTGGCTCTTTTTCCTGCTGGGAAGACAGAGCAGAGCTGGGTCCTCGGAGCAGTGCCTGGGGGCCGGGCTCGCTAGGGGAGATTCCCTTGGTTCCTTGCCGCAGTGCCTCCTGCCCCATCAGGGACATGAGGTAATAAAGCTTACCTTGCCTACCTCGAAGGATGAGGGAAAATAAAACAAAATAGCAGTGAATGAGAAAACTCAGAAGGGTAATCTCCTGTTTTTAGATTGTGTGAGAAACATTTATAAAGCAAGGTACAATAATTGCCACTATTTCTACTAGATTGAACCATATGAAATGGCTGGCATGCAACCTTTTAGATCTAGTAAGTGGCAATTTCACATGTTCAAACTAATTATGTGAAGATAAATAAACTAAAAACTTAATGAAAGTAAATAAATGAATAAGTAAAACAAGTAAGCAAAATAAATACATAAATGATTTTTAAAAATAAACTAATACATTATAAAGGATGGGGCAGAATCACTGTGGTTCAGCAATCTTTCTAGAAAGGCTACTTAGGGGACACACATTCTATGCCCATAGTCTTACACTTTGGAAAGACCTCCATGCAACAGTATTTGAAATGTTTTATTTATTCATATTCCATCTTGTTCCAGAAGCGGTTTAAGGATATGTAGAATAAGACAGGATTACCTCAAACAGAAATCAAAGAAGAAAAGGAAGGGCAGGAACAGGGTAGAGAAAGGACCGAGGCCAAAGGTGCAGAAGCAAATGACCTATTTTAAGGTGGGGCTCCCAGTCTGGCTACGGAAGGGCTGCCATTTGCACCATTTGTGGGTTGGGGACGAGCCAGTTGCTCAGGAGAAATAAAACTGTCCATGGTACCAAGTGCAGACAGGAGTCTGTCCTGGAGGTCCTCATGACAGAGCACTCTTGTCAAAGGCTCTTTCTGTTATTGATCCTTCAAGTCACACATCAGAGATACGAGGGGGAGACAGGCACGCCTGAACTTGTCAAGTGACGACCTGAGATGTCCCAGGAAGAACCTGCCAGCAGAGACTTACCTGGTCAGGTCAAGGTGGCTGATGATGAGGCTCCGTCCGCTCTCAGTCTGGGCGAGCTGCAGCAACAGGGCCAGGCTCTGCTGCCGGATGGCCAGGACCCTGGAGGACAAGAGGGCGGCCAGCAGCCTAGCCCTGTCACGGTCCATCACTAGCACACGCTGGTTTTCCTCTGCAAAACACAGGGGTTGTCTGTCTTCTGCATGCCATGACGGCAATTAAACCAGCTCTGTTGCCCTCCATCCTAATGGGAAACTCAACTGTTACCCACTCATTTGAAGGCAGGAAAATGAAATGTAAGACTGTAGATTCTAGAACCAGACTGCTGGGGTCTGAATGCCCAGGGGAGCGACCTTAACAGTGAGCTCTTGTGCTCCTCGGTTTCCTCATCAGTGAAATGAGGATTATGTCCTACCTACAGGGATGTCATGAGGATTAAATGAGTTAATACATGACTGTGCCAGACGGGGACTGGCACCCATAAATCAGCTATGTCCTTATTATTGTCAAGTCTCCTTGGCGTGTGGTATCTGGAAACACCAGGAAGGGGAAAGAAATCAGCTTAATCATGGAATATCTTTAGACCATCAATATTCATACAATGGCTAAAGCGGCCATTTGAGGAAATGTTATCTAGGAAAGCAGAATATCACATGAGAGCATTAACGAATAAAGTGTGCCCTTCCTAGAATATAAGCTCTTCCAGGGTGGTGGCAGCAGATTTATCCCCTTTCATCTGCTTCATTTTCTGACCAGGTACATGAATTTGTTTGAAACTGCAGGGTAGAGACTGCAGTATGAGGCCAAGCTATGAAACAGAACAAACTGGATCTCAAAGGGGTAGGCCCGGTCACTTGGACCTCATTACCCTGGGCCCTCTCCCCTCCTGTGCTAATTGCCCATTTACACACAGGATACAGCATCAAGTAGAAGACACACACCAGGACTCCTCTAGTCCTGAAAGAGCCAGAGTAATGGGACTGCAGGATATGATGTGCAGCCCACATATCAAACCATGTTTTTGTTGCAAACATTACATCTCATGCCTACACTTCACCTATGATTACTCCTGCCCATGTAAGATAGGGTCTACTGATTTCTGAAATGGGAAGGTTCTTGTTGATTTGTTTAGTTTATGTATTTTTTCTTATACTAGACAAGTAGCTTGCTATGAATAATTCAAATACAGAGTTAGCTGATACCCCCTCCAGGTAAGCCCATTCCCCAAAGGAGCTATTATTCACCCCTCATATAAATAATGTTTAAAATATTATACATCCTACCCTGTAATTGGCTGCTCTTTCCCACTCCACAGTAGATCACTGACATATTTTCATGTCCTTACTTTTAAGCATTCCCTTGCCCTTTTGAAAAACTGCTTTGTATTTATTGAGTTAGATATATCAAGATTTTATTGACCTGAAATATAGCATTTACATCACAGGTATCTGACAGTATTTTAAAGATGATTAAAAAAATGTAATCTAAGGTCCACAGAAATGATAAATAGGTTCACAGAAATAGAGTAAACAGATTGTTATGTCAGATTCACACTGAGTAGACACAGCATCACCAAGTCCTGCCTTCCTTACTCTCCTGTTGGGGAGTTTGCAAAAACACTGCCCTATGCCTGTGCAGGGTCCTACACAGAGTCATAAGCCACCTTGGTGATGATATTAGTCTGGGCATAACTCGCCTTAATTCTTGTCAGGAAACAGGCCCCCGATTGTCTAGATGTTTAAGAGCTTAATTTCTTACGCTCTTGATTCCTCCACTCTACTGGAAAAAAAAAAAAAAAAGGTATTATCTCCTACTTAACATGTCAGAGTATGCAAACTGCATTCACACGCTCTATCACTGCCTCCCACAGCAGCCCTGTGAAAAGGAGACATAGCTACCATTATCCCCATTTTCAATGTTTTTGTCCAGGGTCAAAAACACTGAAACATATATTTTAAAATTCGTATTTACACTGAAGTTACAAAAGTGATTACGAAAGATTACACGAAAACGTAATGAACTCTAGAAGATGCGAATATGTGAAAAGCCTGAGTTAACACAGTGAATAAATCCCCGTGGCATTCTACTTTCTCCATATTACACATGAGTCAGTGTGTGGAGATACTGGTGGGGAGGACTGTAACTCTCAGGATGCTGGAAAGGTACTGTGGTTAGCAAAAGGGAGCAATATTTTTAAGCTGGCAAGAAAAGAAAAACTCCATCTACCTCACTGCCAGTGCACAAACAGAAGTCATGAGTCTGCAAAGAGCAGGAGGAGAAGAGAGAGGAGAGAGACCACTCATTGTGCTGACATGACCTCCTCCCTTCACCAGCCTCAGCCCTCATCTGTCTACCCGGCTTTTGATCCATAAGCTTTCCTGGAGGGAGAGGGTGTGTGGAAGTCTAGACAGCAGTTATCCATGGCGCAGCCTTTGGGGAGGACAGTCCCGCCTGACAGTGTATTTCCTGCACGCAGTGCATGAATGGTGATCAGTGGTGATTACCCAGGCTTACCGTTCCCACTGCACACTGTTTGCCAGAGCTTGAGAACAGACACACAGACCGTCTCTTCAGCTGCATCTTTTCCTGCTGTGGAAAAACACCTACAATGGACAAAGGAGAGCTATCTTAAAAAATCTGAAAATCAGTCTTGATTTTCTCTTCATTTGGTTTTATTTCACCCCTAGACTTGCCAAATGCAGGTCTGAGAAAGTAATTTTATAATCCAGAGCCATGGGTCACCAGGACCAATTACTGAACCATGAGTCCCAGGCAAAGGATGCAGACTGAGGAAGCCAGGGCTGCATAAAGGGTGGCCAGTGAGCCAGGGCCTTGGGTGATGGCTGCACTGGGACCAGTGAACTGCAGCTGAGCACACAGACATGTATTGGTGACTCCAACCCACACCTGTAACCTAAACCTCAGGGAGCACACCAGAACAACCAAAATTAAAATACAGTAACTTTAGCAAACTGCCTCCTACCATATAGGCTTTTCTTCAGATGAAATTATAAACGGGATTGGCCAGCACCCTGCTGATCTTACTTCTTGATATGATCAGCAAATTCCAAATGAAGAAAAGAACAAATGACAACCTTGCAAAAACTGGTGGGAAAGCAGCAAGAATGATAATTTCTCTTTGATGAGCTTGGAGGAGCCCTGGGAAGTGCTGCTGTGCCTCTCTTCAATTGCATGGTTTTTTTGTTTGTTTTTTTGTTTCGAGACTGCATCTCACCGTATCCGCCCAGGCTAGAGTGTAGCGGCTCACTGCAGCCTCCGGGGCTCAAATTCAAGCGATTCTCATCTCAGCCTCCCGAGTAGCTGGGATTACAGACACCCGCCACCATGCCCAGTTAATTTTTGTATTTTTAGTGGAGAGGGTTTCACCATGTTGGCCAGGCTAGTCTCAAACTCCTGACCTCAACAGATTCGCCCACCTTGGCCTCCCAAAGTGCTGGGATTACTGGCGTGAGCCACTGCGCCCAGCCTCAATTGTTAACTGCAGCGTAACTCCAATGACTTGAGGGTCAGCACTCAAAGGTGTTCGCGTAGTAGCTTTGCGGTCCTGGAGAGGCCCCTACTACCGACTGAAGGTTCAGAAACGTGACTACCTATGTGCCTCGTGTCTGATTCATAAGCAGCGGTTATCTTCCCTTGTTTTGATGCTGTGCTGTCTTTATAAACATCCCTACCTTCTTATGACCTCGTTGTCACTGATGATACTAAATCCATTGTGTATTCTGAATAAAGTTTGTTCTGTGCCTGAAACAGATACAGAGAAAACCACTTCAAACTCCAAAACTGGCTGGCTGGTGTCTAGCTGCAACACAGCCACCTGCTAATGAGAAACCTAATATGGAACATCAAAGTCCCCACATTAATGGTTTAGCAGAAACAAATACCTTTACATTTTGAAAAATACAATTGTCAGCAGCCTCTTAGTGCCACAGGCAGAGGGACTGTTTAGAGAAGGAGAGCAGAGCTGGGGTGGCTCCGAGGTCTATCTGCACAGTTCAACATTCTGTAATCTTTAGAGAGCCTCCCAGAGCTGCTTAACCTATGGGAAGTGCCAGCATATCCATCTGTTCTTAAATATTTATTTCAAAGCTGTTTCCAGGCTCTAGAGAGGAATTTATAATCTCCAGGAAACTGCTGAAGGGGATGTTTGTGCACCCTCCATTGCACACTAAAGAGAAGTCAGAAACTCCATCTATTTGTACAAACAACATGCTGTCACTGAGTAGAGAGATCATTTAAGCCTTGGAAACAATGTTTACAAGAGCTAGTACAAGACAACAGTATGGCCTCATTAGCAGGAGAGCTGATGTTTGCTCTGAAGCCATTTTCACATCCTAAGTAGCCATTAAGTGTAACTGGGTGAACCTTACAGTTTAACCTACAAAATTCTGTCCCCCATTCCTCCACAGTGGAGGGAAGGTGTGTGAGGTGGTATGGGATGCCTGGGGTGTCTGCGGAAGTACGTGTAGGGTACGTGCAGGATGTACACAGGGTGTGTGGAGAAAATGTGAGGGCGGAATATGTGCAGGATATGTGGAGTGACGTGAGTACTTATAGTGTGAGTGTGCAGTGTGTGGTATGTGGTGTGTGTGTAATATATTCAATATAGTCAAGAATATATTCAAGTCAGTGAAAGCTAAGTGCATGTGTGTGTGACATATGTAAGCATGGAGTGTGTGCCACGTGTGTGTGTTGTGTTGTGTATGTTTATTGCATATGTGCTGAGTGTACGCACGTGCTATAGAGAGGACAGGGCAGAGTTGGGAGGACATTTCTTGTGCACCCCTTTTAGCAGCTACATTAGAGTACATCTTCAATCAGTATTTGTGGAAGGAAGGGAGGGATTCTTCGCCTGGTAAAGGCAGACCTCTGAACGTGTCCCTTCACACCGACAGCACTCATGAGATCACACACATCGCTGGCTTACACTCCTTTATAATTTCAGTCAGGATCTCAATCCCCCCGGCATAGAACAAGGGGATCTGGTCAGGCTTGGAAAGGGTCTCCAGGAGGTTCTTGGTGGTCACGGCTGTGTTCTTTCCTGAATCCAGCAGTTTGTGGGCTTCCTTCTCTTGATGGTCTGCTTTTTCCTGAAGATCTACTTGATTCAGGTAATCTAGAAAAACAAGAAAGGAAAAGCAAAACAAAACCCTAACAATCAACAATACTGTGCAAGAAGTAACTTTTTTTTCCTTTTCTTTTGAGGATGGGAGTTTGAGAAGCATAAAGCATTAAAATAATTCAAACTCCTCTTCAGCAAGGAACATTTTAGAAACAGCCTAAATCTATAACCAGAATCTTAAATCTTGTTGGGGATTCAAGGGAGCCTAACAGCATCTAAGGGAGGATGGTGTAGAAGATGAAGAAGGCAAATATTAATATTTGCAAGGGAGCACAGCAGGCAGAGGAGTGGAGTGAGCCGGTAATACAGAGGACTGGACCGTGCAGGAAAGAAAATCCACTGCTGCCTCGTGGCCAAGGGCGGTGTAGGCAAGGAATGCATTCTAAGGCAGGAGGCAGAGGGAAGTGGAGTTCGGATGAAGGGCCCCAGCAGGAACAGGCTCACCTTTCACCTGGGTTTGCAGCTTCGGGTTTATTTCTAAGATCTTCTTATAACACTCTCTAGACTGGAAAAAAGAAACAAGACCTTGAAGAGTGGCTGGGGTAAAGGTGATCACGAGGAATACACTGGGTGCCGTTAGGCTTAGCTGCTTTATTATTTTCTCCTCGCCTCCTCCTGCTCCCAGCACAGGGGACAGGCATAGGAACGCAGTGTGCATTTGACATTTTGTTCAGGCTTCTCCAGTTCTAGGGGCAACAGGTATTATTTCAAAATTCATTTTAAAAGAAGCAGTGTTGTAGTGATGTTAGATGCTTATGATGAAAAATATCCAGTCCTAAATTCCTGTAGATCATGTCTGTCTGGGATAGAAATAATCATAAAGTAAATGCAAAACTTAGGTATGATATTTGCACTGACCGAGAACAGGAGGCTGTCAGATATGTCCCTAGGGAGTTAGGAAATAAATGAAGCCAGAGGCAGTGTTGACAGAGACTCGGGAATAGGAAAAGAGAGCTGCCTATTTAAATGTACAGGCTGCGAAGAGAACCAGTAAGGGATCCATTTATTGGCCACATAAGAGTCAGCTGGAAAACTCAAGAGTGAGGGCTTCTCATTGAGGAAATTGCTAGGTATAAAGTTACTGGATTCTAGTTCATAGGATTCCTGGGCTTAGGGCAGTATTTCCCACAGGAATATAAGAACTGCCCAGAGTATAATCTAACCAGTCACCTAGAGAAAAAGCTCAGATAAAAAGCAGCTCTGAGATAATCTTGAAGTTTCAAAGTTCATCTAGAAGACTAGAGTTAAGAAACAAGCTGAAGGGGAAAAAAATGACACATTAAAGTAGAGAACAGTGTCCCAGGAACAGAAGTCCACACATCAGAGTGACCCCATATCCAACTTCTCTTCAACCCCAGATCTAATCTAGCAACAATTTTTGTTGGCATCACTGTCAGTAAGTATCCAGAATCGCATCACTTCTTACCACCTCCACCACCAACCTGGTACCCAACATCACCTCTTGCTTGGATATTTATTGCAATGCCTTTTCACATGTTCTCTGTTCTTATCTTGCCATGCCAAAACACATGCTCAATATAGCAGAGTAATCCTTTAAAATCTGTCAGATAATTTAATTACTTTACTCAAAATTCCCCAATAAAGCGAGAAGATCACTCGGAGTAAAAGCCGAAGTTCTTTGAAAAGCCTATAAGGCCCTGCAGGATCAGCCCCTTTTCCACCCGTCTCACCTGTTTGACCTCATCTCCTGTTGCTCTCCTCTTGCTGGCTGTATTCTCGCTATCCCTCTGCCAGGAATTTATTCCCTTATATATCCACATGGTTTGTTCACCGCTCCCTTCCTTCAGAAAGCCTTTTCTTACCACTGTATACAAAACCACTCTCATCTTTACTGCTTCCTGATTTATTTTTCTCAACACTACTTACTACCACCTAACATATTACACATAACATACTACACATCTACTTAATTGTTTTTTGTCTCCTGGTCACTCTTACCCCAAGAACATGAGTTCCATGAAGCCAAGGATTTTGTCTAGTTTCACTGATGTATTATTTATTGCCTGTATTAACAGTGCCTGACACATAGAAAGCACTCAATAAATATCTGCTGAATGAATGAATTGAATGAGTAAATAAAAATTGGTGGACAGGGAAAGATTAACATTTTCTTGATTCACATTTATTTTATTTGGCTTTATTACAATAAGCTTGTATTAAATTAACAATTAAAATCCAACAAAGAAACCTTTAAAAAATGTATAATATGAAGCACTTTATTTTAAAGACATATCTTATAAATGGAAAGACATCCTAAATTCATGGATAGAAAGACTTAATATTGTTTAGATAGCAATACTTGCCAGATTGATTTACAAATTCATATAATACCCATCAAAGTTCCATCTGGTTTCTTTGCACAAATCGACAAGATAATCTTGAAATTCATATAGAAATTCAAAAGTACCAGAATAGTTAAAACAATCTTGAAAATGTAGAGGAACAAAGTTGAAGGACTGGCACTTCTCAACTTATTACAAAGCTACAAAAATGAAGACACTGTGGTACTGGCATAAGGACAGACAAGTAGATGAATGGTATAAAACTGAAAGTCCAAAAATAAACTCATATATTTGTGGTCAGCTGATTTTTGACAAGGGTGCCAAAATCATTCAATGAGGGAAAAAATGGTCTCTTTAACAAATTGGTACTGGGACGAGTAGACATCCACATGCAAAAGAGTAAAGTTGAACCCCTACCTCACATCATACAAAAAAATGGACTCAAAAATGGATTAGACAGAGCTAAATATAAGAGCTAAAGGCATAAAACTTTTAGAAGAAAATGTAGGTATACATCTTCCCGACCTTAGATTAGATGATCATTTATTAGACGTAACACCAAAGTCACAAGCAACCAAAAAAAAAAATAAGTAATTGAGGCTTCATCAAAATTAACCATTTTTTTGTGCCACAAAGAACATCATCAAGAAAAGGAAAAGGCAATACAAAGAGTAGAAGAAAATATTTGGAAATCATGTATCTGATAAGAAACTTGTATGCAGATTATATAAAGAACATTTGCAACTCATTATAAAAAAAGACATTTCTCCAAAGAAAATATATAAATGGCCAATAAGTACATGAAAAGATCCTCAACATCGTTAGCCACCAAAAAATGCAGATCAATACCACAATGACACATCACTTCACACCCACTAGAATAGCTACAATAAAAATAGATAACAAATATTGAAGAGGATGTGGAAAAACTGGAACCCTCACACACTGCTGGTAGGAATGTAAAATGCAGCAGCCATTTTCAAAAGCAGTTTAGTAGTTCCTCAAAAGGTTAAACATAGAGTTATTATATGGTCCTGCTATTCCACTTCTAGATACATACCCAAGAGGACTGTAAACATAAAAAGAAATCCTGCACGTGAATGCTCATTGCATTGTTATTCATAGCGGGCAAAAAGTGGAAACAACCCAAATGTCCATTAACTGATGAATGAATGAATAAAACATGGTATCATACAATGGAATATTATTCAGCAATAAAAAGGAACAAAGAACTGATACACATTACAACATAAATGTGCCAAGCAAACATTATACTAAGTGAATGACCTTAGTCACAAAAGACCACAGATTGTATGACTGTATGAAATCTACAGAACAGGCAAATATATAAGAGACAAAGACTGGTGGTTGCCTAAGGCTGATATGGGGCTGCAGGGAAGGGGACTGACTGCTAATATGCACAGGGTTTTTCTGGGAAGGGATGAAAATTTTTAAAACTGATTTTGGTAATGGCTTCCAGACTGTGAATATACTAAAAACTATTGAATCATACACTCTCTACAGGTGAATTGTGTGGTATGTGAATTATATCTCAATAAAGCTACTTTTAATGATATATAATATCTTAACATGGATAGACAGGTAGATAGATTGACTGATCTGCATGGTTTTTTTAGGTGATGAGAGTATAGCAAATTTTGTTTTCTCTTTTGCTTCTGTCTTTTCTCTCCAGAGACTGAACAAACACTGGTAGAGGCTGTTGCAGAAGAGTCCTGCAGCTGGTGGGGTGCAGCTAACTGACACCCAACATTCTTCCCAACTTTAAGATCTTGAGCTTTACCTTGGAAAATACTAAAGGATGGATTAATACCTGATTAGCTTGGAGAATCATGGTTCTCCTCTAGTACAAGTGGGAGCATCGCTCTGTGATCAGTCATGTCAATTACACTTCTCTAAGAACTTACCACACTGTAGTTCTTCAGGGCCAGGTTGGCTTTTCCCATGTGGAAATATGCTTTTGTGCATTTTTCATCACACTGAATAAAAGAGAATGACTGATCAGAAGTTTTAGAAGCTGTGAAGTCATTAGCCACTCCCCTCACTATACAGCTAAAAGAGTTAAGGTGAAGCTTTGATTCTCAGGGCAACTACCAGAGTTGACAAAACTTTTTTTTGCATACTTGTGACCAAACTAATTGATGTCTGCAAGGAGCCTGGATGCATCAGCAAGCTCTTCACCAAATTAATTAATGATACCTGCCAGTTTTCATTTCCATTTAATGAGATGCAATCAGGAAGCAAACCCTCAGTTTAAAAGAGCTCTTAACACTGGCAGAACATTAGAATCATCTAGGATGCTTGTAAAAATCCTGCATCCCACGTCAATTACATTATACTCTGGGGTAAAACCCAGGCATCAATAATTTTTTAAGCTTTCTAGGTGAGGTAAATGTGCAGCTAAGTTTGAGAGTCACTGGTTTACTAGAAGAGAGAACTTACTCTGGGAAAACAGCTGAGATTACTATTATATCTTAGCGGACCGGGGAAGTCCTTCCTCCCAAATAAACCACAACATGTGTACTGGGAACTTCTGTTCATATCAGTTAAGATCAATAGGGATGCCCCCTTCAAAAAGCAGGTTTGAAGCTTATGGCAAACTAGACCATTTACACAGGGGGCCCTGCACCTGCCTGCCCCTGCAGGGGATGATTTGACAGAGACATACACTAAAATCTAAGACATTCAGTTAATGAATATTTATTGAGCCTCTTTTATATGCAATACATTGTGCCAAATCAGATGCCCATCAAAGTATTAAATATGAAGAGTTTAAGAGTTCAAGCTCAGGGCCAGGCACGGTGGCTCATGCCTGTAATCCCAGCATTTTGGGAGGCCGAGGTGGGCGGATCACAAGGTCAGGAGATGGAAACCATCCCGGCCAATGTGGTGAAACCCTGTCTTTACTAAAAATACAAAAATTAGATGGGCGTGGTGGCACGTGCCTGTAATCCCAGCTACTTTGGATGCTGAGGCAGGAGAATGGCTTGAACCCAGCAGGCGGAGGTTGCAGTGAGCCGAGATTGCACCACTGCACTCCTGCCTGGCAACAGAGCTAGACTTCATCTTAAAAAAAAAAAAAAGCGTTCAAACTCGGGAGTCTAAAATGTCCTGCGTAGATCCTTGTTCTGCTACCAGCAGAAGTGGCATGTTGGCCAGGCCACCTAACTTTTCTGACACTCATTTTCCTCACCTGAAAAATGAAGACAATAGTAGTATCTCTCTCGGGTGTTTGTGAGGAAGAAATTATGTAAAACACTTGGTGTGGCTCTGGGTAACATAGTATTAGCTGCTATTGCTGCAGTTATATCAGCAGCAATTCATTTCAGAGCAAAAGAGAAAATCTAAATTTAATAAAAGAGAGAAGAATAACAATAGTAATAAAAGAGAGAACAATAATTGTTGGAGAAGGCTTAGAGATACACTTTTGTGTATATCATTTCCCAATTCACTGCTAAGTGAATGGAAGTCACAATAATAACTGTGCATGACAGTTCAGCCCAAACCATGTGCCAGGCACTGAGCTTTATGGTTCATATGAATGATCTCACAGAAGCTTTATAATAACTCTATGAAGTAGATACACTTATTATCCGTATTTTACAGATGTGGAAACTAGGGGTTGGATAGGCTCAAGGTCACAAAGGTAACAAGTGGAAGAGCTGGAATTTGAAACCTGGCCATTAAACTCTCAAGGGTTTAAAAAAGACACCAAATCTCCTTCAGAGAGTGCTATAGAAAAAAGTATATAGATGCTATAGAAAATGCTACTGAAAAAATTCAGTGGAAGAAAATATGCTCTAAAATGCATATTTTTAAAAGGGCATGCAGAGCAGGAGGGATCTGGGCTGAGTCTTAAGTGACATGGAGAGGTGAAGAGAGGAGGATGGAGGGAGAGTGGGGTGGGCAATGACCTGAGGGAGGAGAGTACAGGGGATTTGGGGACAATCCATCTGGGATCGAGGAGCAGGTGCTGGGTGGAGGGATGATTCCATCTTGAGCTAAATGGCAACTCCACATGGTAGCCTCGCATGCCACACTGGAGGAGGGTGAGTCACCAATGGCAGTGTGGAGGTAAGCTGGTAGGAAGGTGGCATGCAGACATGACCAGAGGAGGGAAAGGCTGAACAAGAGGTATGGGCTGAACAATGAGAGATGAGTAAGGAGACCAGAACAACCACTTAGAACAAGGGCTAATGTCTGAAGTCCTGGTGACAGTGGGAAGGAAAGGAAGTGCAGATGCCAGAGCTATGTCAAAGAAAGAACTGGCCAGGATCAACTAGCCATCAATGATAAGGAGCGCTAGGATGTGAAGTCAAAACCGGGGGTCTAGATTCCTGAAAGACATGGTGTGTCATGAACAGAAAGAAGTCAGTCAGGGCAGAACGTGGGAAAGGCTGAGTAAGAAGATGAAGAGTTGGCTTCTAGACATACTGAGTTTCAGAAGACATGAAGACAATCAAAAGGCACCTGCAGGAGGCAGCTGACATGCAGCCCTGGAGCCGGGGAAGGGGAGATTGGGGAAGTAGGTCTGACAGCCATTTGCAGAGATGAGAGTTGAGCCCGTGAGAGGAGAAGAGAGCTGTGAGGGAGTAACTGTAGAGAGAAGAAAGGCAGGGAGCAGAGGGGTGACCCCTCATGAATTCACAAAGGATGAAATTGAGGAAGCAGGAAAGGAATGGTCAAAGGGAAAAGAGGAAACTCTAGTACTTCAGCTCATGAAAGCCAGATATTCACAGTACATTCACTGGCAGAGCACTGGGGTTACAGCAGGCGGGAAAACCCAGCCCCAAGCATTAGAGCCTTGTCCCTGGCCTATCGTATGTCACCGTGAAGTGCAGATAGTTGTGACTTGCCTTCCTCAGACAATGACACAAAGGGCTGCTAATGGGTTTTTCTCACTAATACGCCCATTCTCCTTTGATCATGTGTCAACCCTCAGTAGAATTTTCTTGGGTGAACCCCAGCTTCCTTTTAAAGGAATCCTGCCTTCAGAGGAAGATGTATTTCATTGTGCAAGAAGTGTTCTGCTGAGAAAGAAATGATGTTGATCCTAATTGAAACCAGCTTTGCTGCCTTATCTTCCTTGACAAGAAACATCAGTCTTGAAATATCATCACATTGTCTCTACCAATTTAAAAGTGTCAAAAAAGATTAAATTGGCACGAAAGTACTAAAACTATAAGTAATGGAGTGCCAGTGACATTCACTATTGATACATTAATTTTAAAGAGGGCAAAAGTTTTTCTTTTAATTCACAGCTGCAACATAAAACAAATCATTATTAGTTTTAGACTCTTTGTACATTTTTTTTTTCTCATTTCTCCAAGTGTTTACCCAAACCTCTTCAACTAGGAGCCTCGCTGGGCATTTAGCAAGATTGGCTGCTGAATGTCAGCATTTTTTAATGTCAGCTCCATTGGGTCTGCTTGGCCTTGGTTTCACTGTTAATTACACTGTACTTCAATTAACATTTGGGAACAGGCCAGTGTGTTATCCTGAATCAGCATGATGGTATGTCTGCCCCTTTGGCATTTTTCAGATCAGAAAAGATACTCTTGGAGAACCTGTGAGGAGATCGCGTTTCTTCCAGAGAAGGGAATGAGATCCACACCCAGGAACTGTGGGGTTTGAGGCTGCAGTGGAGAGGCCCTTTGTAGATGTTTAAGAGCATGGGCTTAGAGTTAGACAGACACTAGCTTCATGATCCTGCACCAGTTACTTATTCAATCACTGAGGCTTGGCTTCCTTGTTAGAAAAATAGAGAAAATAGTGATACTGAACAGAATAGAATAGAATTTTGTGAGCATGCAGCAAATGATGTTTGCTGTTATTGCTGGAAAAAACAAGGAAAACATTCTTGCCTCTCTCTTCTCCTGCAGAATAATCATAGAAAAAGGAATCATTATCAAGCAAGGTGACAAAGCAGGTTGGTGGATCTATGATGGAGCTGTGAGGAGCTTGATGTCATCAGCTTCGGGAAACTCTTATAACTTAAAGACCATACCCGTGCAATGGGAGAAGATTTGCCATACATTGTATCTTCTAAGGGATAAAGAAATCAGGCACTCCAGATGTCAGTGTTTTATGTATGATTATAAGCAGAGGTGACTTTCTCATTCATCCTTGTTTTCCTTTGCTTACCCTCTCAGTAAGAAATAAAGTAGACATGGCTAGTATGCTACTAGGAAAGTGTCCTCTTGTTTTGGGCCATGCTCATTAGGTTAGGGTCGGTGTACTGTAACCAAGAATTGAAGCCAAAGAATAAACCTGGCACATTGCCCTGCTACCTCAATTTTACTTGATTCTAAGGTATTGAAAATAATACTATTATATTTAAAAAAACAGATAACTTTTATGAAGTTCTGTGCAAAATTAACAAGGTTTTGGTTTTTTCTGTTTTTTTTTTTAAGATAAAACACACATCTTAAAAGAAATCTCATGCTGTCTGCTTCTAGACCCTCTCGAGAGGCTCACATTCATTCTCCTTTGCTGTTAGCAGCACTTTAGTGCAGAAGTCTGAGAAGTACTAGTTTTGGTTACTTAGTTAAAACCCCCTGTGACAGAGGAATTTAGGGGAATGTGGATTAAGAGTTACTTAAATATTTGGTCATGTCCCTAAAAAGTGATTGAGTTATTTTTCTTTTAGTAACTCTTAACATTTCCATCAACAGTCTTTACTTCTATGCATCTTTGATCATCTATTTTGGCAGATTTCAGAGGAAATGCCATGTATAGAATAATTTTGTCTGCCCGAGGCCTGACTAAAGTTGAATCATAGGAATTCTTTCTTTTGATTATTCCTCTACAAATAGAGGATGTTATATTTCCAAATTATTAGGGCCGGAGGGAAAAAGCACAAACTGATGAGGAAGAACCGCATTGCAGAAACAAGCTCCAGTGGCTTGCTCTAGAAGAGAGGAGGCATTTCCACTATCACATAGAGCAATGTGTCTGATAACACAATAGTAAAGAAGGAGGTGCTGTAATATAAGACCTTGAAAATTCAATAGCAGCAGCTCCCTGGAGTGCTTTCTAGGAACTAGGTAGTTTTTGTGCATTGTTATGACTCTCCTAACAATTTTATTCCATCCCATTCTATAGATGATGAAACTGAAGTTCTGACTGCAGCGACTATACTCTTTCCTACCTTGACACACTGGCAGCTACCTTCTGTCTACTTCAGCCCAACACCATCATGTGGGAAAAGAAATACTCTCTTACCTTGAGAGCCCATTCACAATCCACCAGTGCCTTCTCATAGTCCTCAAGTTTCATATAAGCCTGTAATGACACCAACAGCTGATATTCACACACAACTCTGCATCAGGCAGTTTTCAGTTCACAAAGAAAGAGCATTTGAACAATAGTTCAGTGATGAACTATTCCCTACCTGGATCAGTCATGGTCCTGGCAGGAAACAGATGGCACACTGGCACAGGGCAACTGAGGAGAGTTTAATATAGGGACCTCTTCCACGGTGAAGGCAGGGCATAGGGAACCTGACGAGGGATGCTACAGAATCCCAGGGCTAGCAACAGTGGACAGCCATTACCACGGCTATTACTGAAGGGGAAGAAGCAGGGAGCAATGAACAAAATGGGAGAGGACAGCTTTGCGAAAAGAACTGCCTGACATGAGCTGAGGGCTTCACCAGAGCCAAAGTCCAGGAGAATAGATACCCCAATCTCACGTTCCCTCCTTCTTTCTTATTTTATTAGCTGAACGCAAATGGAAGCTAGAGGGCTGGGAAGCCAAGGAGCCAATCCACACAGGTCAGCCCTCCAGGGCACAGAGCAGGGCAGGGAAGGATCTAGAGGGATACACAGAAGAAAGCCAGCTCACTAACCACATCCATGAAGGAAGAACTGGATTCTGGAGTCCACCCTGCTGTGAATGTTCCAAAAAAACACCAAGTGATAAAGGGAATCAAAAAGACAGACAATTAGAGCCCTCATACACTGCTGCTGGGAATGCAAAATGGCACAGCCCCTCTGGAAGACAGTCTGGAAGTTCTTAAGAAGGTTAAATATGTTACCATATGACCCAGCACTTTTATTCCTAGGTATATACTCAAGATGATATAAATATAGGTCCATACAAATGCCTGCACATGAATGTTCATAGCAGAATTATTCATGAGAGTCAAAAGGCAACAATCCAAATGTCCATCAGAGATGAAGGGGTACATAAAATACGGCATATCAATACAATGGAAAATTATTCAGCAATAAAAAGAAATGAAGAATTGACAGATACTATGACATGGATGAATCTTAAAAACATTATGCTATATGAAAGAAGCCATTCACAAAAGGACAAATGTATGATTTCATTTATATGAAATATCCAGAACAGGCAAATATATAGAGACAAAAAGTAGACTGGTGATTGTCTCGGGATGGGAGTAGTAATGGGAGGATTGGGGGAGTTGACAGCATAAGACGGACTTTCTTTTTGGGATGATGATGAAATGTTCAAAAATTGATTGTGATGGTTGCACAACTCTGTGATTATACTAAAAACCCATTAAATTGTGTATCATAAATGGGTGCACTGTATGGTATGTGAATTATATATCATTAATGCTGTTATCAAAAAATGATAAAGCACTGCTTCTGTCCTCCTGAGCAGAGCAGAAAAAAAATGCAAGAAGAGAGTAACATATGAGAGTCAGAGCGTCGCCACGAACCCTCAGTATCAAATGCCTGGGGCACTGTTTTACAATCAATCCCCTTAGAATTGGGGAAAATCATGAAAATCAAGAATTGGCTCATAATTCCATGATCCATTCAAACTAAACTGATTGAAAACGTAGTTCAACGTTTCCAAGAACTAGAGGAATATAAAGAAATGAAAGACTATTTACAAACAAGCACAATGGCTACTATGACCTCTCCATTATTACTGAACACAGTAAGTGGTCAGTAAAGTCTTACCAAGTTGCACTAAGAAGATTTGAAGCACTCTTTTTCTGCAAAGCTCCCTGAGAGGCAGCACCAATCATCCCATTTGTACGAAACGGTAGCCAAGCACCAGGAGCGGTGGCTTTGCCAGGGATCCATCAGTTACCAATAATAAAGCCAGCACTACATGTAGGATTGCCCATGATCAAAACTGTACCAGGGCACTGCAACCACTCTTAACAACGAACCTGATGAGATATTTACATGGACAAGCCAAATCGTGGGGTCAGTGCTGCAACTCACAGGGAATCCAAGTATCCAACCCAAGTGAGGAAGGAACTGGCAACAGCCAGCAAATGAATTGAAATCATGCAGCTCTTGGCCCCCACAACAAGGAAGCTGCGAGTGGTGCTTTCATTAACTCAGGTTCTATAGTAATCGGAGAAGATGAATCTTTGAGCTGTCTGTTCTATAAAGCATCATCCTTTTCTCCAGGGCCTCAGGTTTAATTTGAAAATTAGGGGATGTGAGGAGGAAGCTGGCATGATTCTAGACAGCTGTAGCCATGATTTCATGGCACTATTATTCAGGACACATTGCAGACTCTGAAGAAGTCTTTATGGGTTGCAACAATACACAGCTTTTTACTTTTTTTCTTCTTTCTCTCTTAAGGCTTGGATTAAACACCCTATAACTTCCTTAATCTCTTTTGCACGTTTTGAAAAAGAACTACTTTTTCCAAATAGCAATTAAACTCCAGATTTATCTAAATTACACCGGCAATCTATTGATCATAACATTAACTCCAGGGGAAAAACAAAGCAATGAAAGGTTAGGTTTTCTCTCTAGCAAGCAACACTCAATTTACAGGGTCTTTATTAAGTGTTTTCTAACATTGCATGCATACAGGGGAAGCATTTTAAAAATAGTCAATGGTTCAAATGGTTCGTAACACCAGGCAGTACATTTTCCGTTTCTTTGTCTTTGCATAAGCTTTCTCCTTGGGAAAGCTGTGAGGAATCACTCCCTCAGACCTTTCCATGACATTTCTTTATATTTACCCACATTCATTCTTAATGTGATTCTTCAGAACTAATCAAAATGCTGCTGAAAAATGAGTGCAGTGAAAATGTAACTAATTTAAATGAATTGAGGTATAGACAGTCTGATTTAGATATGTCTGAATTATATAACTTTTTTAAAGCAATTCCATTTTTATTGCTTTCAAATAACTTCAGAGTAACACAACTGAACAAGCATCAGTAGGCAGATGTTTTTAGAGACCAAATTTGGTGATAAATAAGAAGGAACTATAATTATTCTATTAATTGCTTGCATTTAAACGATGCTTCTGAATTATCAACAGAAACTTAACTCCCTTAATTGGACTTACTGTGCTTCCAATGTTATGTAACCAAAAAAGGATTTATTGAACATCTGCTATAAATAAAGCATTAGAGGAAGAAAGTATATGGCAGTTTTTGCCCTCAAAAAGTTTATAATCCTGTTAGGGTAATACACTGTACTGCTAAATCAACCTCTGGGCATCTTTTTCACCGATTCACTTCCTTATAACAAGTTTTCTCCACAAATTGAGGTAGTTGAAATAACACTTCAACTCTAGTCTAACTTATCCAAATTGCTAAACTAATGAGGTTATACCGCTTGGATTTATTTATCATTAAATCGCTGTCACTCCGCAGAATTTTCAGCCTCCAAATGTCCTGTTTTTTGCTTCCAATATTCTTCCTCAACATCCCACAGCCAGACATTCTTAATCTTGAGTTAGGGAAATTGGAGCTGATGAGGACTCTGCTGCAGCCTCTTCCTCTTGCAAATGACAAGGCATCAAGTCCACCTCAGACAGGTCCTGCTGACATATTCTGATCATGGGTAATCATGTCATGAATCTGCCAATTTTTCAGGCCTGCCCAGCAGAGAACTCTACCACACAAAAACTAAACTACTTTCCAAAGATAAGGTCAGAAGTGCTAGTTTTGTTTCAGCTGAGAACTATCAGCCTATCCCTTCATTAAGTAGTAAATGTACATCTGGGCGGTTTTTAACTGGTGTTCCAGTTAAAACACTAATTTGTTAGTGTCACTAATTGAGCTAATTTGTGACATAAACTAAAGCATAAAAGCTTTTGGAAACCCAAAATTTCCAAGAAATTGGCTCTAGGACCATTGGCTATCCACTTTACCCCTGTCAAAGAATCTTAAAGAGAGATTGATACAACAGATGAGAAACTAATAGAAGGGCATCCCCTAGGAATTAAGGCTAGTGCCAAAAAAGGAGGCTGGACAAATCTATTGGTAGCAGAATTTGAAGGTCCCATAGGTCATTTCATTCCACTAGTTTTCTTCTTTATCCACAGAAACAAGGGCATGGTCGCCATCAGTGATATGATGGAGCTGACTTATGCTATGGAGAGAGCTGATATGGGTAGCTCTTGCCAAGTCCTCCTGCAGTGACTCCAAATTAGATCATGGTGAGAATATCTGCATCATGGAAACTGGCAAATGGTACATATAAGTCAGCGCCCCCCTCACCCAAAACAAGAGCCAGTTCTTACAAACATTTCCCAGCCCAACATCTAGTCTCATCTTTGTTTTCCCAGGTGTAGTGACAACTATTCCCCAAGAAAGCCCCACAGACACATCCTTGGCTCACTGACCTGGGCTCGGTTGGTGTACAGCACTTTCATGTCCTTCAGCTTCTCCAAACCCTCACTGTAGCGCAGGATGGCTGTTTCATAATCGCCTTTAGCAAACGCTTCGTTCCCCTTTTCTTTTAGGGCTAAGGGAATATAAGTTACACAGGTGAGCTCTCACCACACATCAGAAAATCTCTCAGACGTTATTCCCCTGATTTTCCAATTCTACTTTGACGGTCTTCGCTTCTATTGATCCAAAAGGGACTTGTCACTTGTTTCTCTCTGCAGATATTTCAGAACCAGCTTCCTCAAGTATTTTTTTTTCTCTGAATTCACCCAAATCTTCTAAGTAGATTCTCAGAAAAAGTAAATGTTTCTACATTGAGACTCAGAACCACACTAAGCTTGCCACAGAGACCAAATCTATGCATTCAGTGTCTCATAAAGAGAGTCAAATAATTAATTTTCCCAACAAATATGGAATCATTCAGAACTGCAGCACACACAGCCCTGGGTGGTATAAATGTTGAAAGCATTCTTCTATTATGTGTATGTCCCCCCAACACACACAATCCCATCCCTTCCCTTTCCTTGATTTCGCCTCTCTTTTCTCACAGCTGTTTTTTCTTTGCCACCTCATCTATGCCTTAGGCGAGCCAGTGGCACCACACTGCTACCCCCCACCACTTTCTGAGCACTGTTTAGTACTATTCCCTTCGCTCTGCTAAGTGCATAAGAATGCTTTAGAAAGAGGTTTTCACTGGAGGCAGTGAAAGAGCTTTCACTGAAGGTCGGTATGTCCTATGCCTGCTTGTTGCAGCAGGAACAGAGAAAAGACACCAATGGTTTCCTTCTGGCCAGGTCCCATTCCCTCAAGCTCGTCACAAACCTCACCACTGGAATCTAGATGTCCTCACATGTCAGCATATAGGCTTTCGTGTGCTCTTTCTAGCAGAAATCATCCCAGCCATTGAAAAGTAAGGATTGGCAATTACCGTCTGCTAAGACTTTGTTTTCCCTCCTTCTCTTGGCTCGTTCCTTTGCATCCTTCTCCACAGATGCCAAGAAGGCCTCTGACAGCAGGGTAATTTCAGATATTAAAAAGAAAAATCCAAATACTATAATCAGTTCTTTAGCTCAAATTCTGAAGAGTTACTTTAGAGCCACACGTACGCATATGCACACAGGCACACACACACACGCACACACGATTCTGAGGCAACTAAAATGACATTTTCTTAATTTGACATTAAATGGTAATCTGTGTGATGTATTATTATACATGATGGCTATGATTGTGCTTCAAATTTGAATTATGTCTTTTAAAAGAGTTTTTCTTTGAAGGGAGATTTTTTTTTGCTCCGTTTAGCATAATGAGTTTCTGAGCTGAGCAATAGAGAAACTATCTGGATCCCCTGAACAGCTAAGAGTAAATTGGATGATACAGAATAACCAAATTGAGTTTACAAAAGGTTGACCAAGAGAAAATAGAGAAAAAAGCTGTCAGGGCAGCTCCCTTTGACCACTAATAACAGAATGGGATGATCAGTAAGTTTTTGTTCCCAGATTGTTTATAAGCCCAGAAACAATAATTTAAGGGTCTGGGAGCTACAATCCATCAAAAACTGATCCTATACAAAGAATAAAAATTGGAGATGCGGTCCTTACCTGAGTCTATTTCTTCTGTACTCTGTAGGACGTAGATTTTCATAAAAACAAAGAAACAAATTTCAAAAACCACTCTCTGATTTATATGTGCATAAACCAAGAAGGCAAATAGTTGCGAACATTTCCTTTAACCGTCAAAACTGAAGGGCTCAGAATTCAAGGGGCTTGCTTTAAATCAGAAGATCTGACTATGGGCACAATTGCTATGGGAATGAGGCTGCCCAGGTCAAGGGACCTCAGCTGTGGCTTATAAGTTGAAAATGAGTTAGAATACTTTGCCTTAAAAGTACAGCTTAAATATGTCACACAGGCTCAGGGGGTGGAGAGGCCAAGTTTCCATTAAAATAGACCCAAAGGAGGCCGGGCGCGGTGGCTCAAGCCTGTAATCCCAGCACTTTGGGAGGCCGAGGCGGGTGGATCACGAGGTCAAGAGATCAAGACCATCCTGGTCAACATGGTGAAACCCTGTCTCTA